AGAAAAAGAGAGAGAGAGAGAGAGAGAGAGAGAGACAGAGAGAGAACACAGACTGAAAAGAAAGAAAGAGGCTGAGCGGCCAGAGCTTGGCAAACCAACCTTTGGCATGGTGACCAGGAAGAAGGTTCTGGTCTGGTGGGGAGATTGCCTCGGAAATGCTGCCTGGAGTCAGCCAGTGTGCTGCTGCCCTCTAAAGGCCCCAGGGAGCAATGCACAGCCACGGAGGCTCGGAGGGACTGGTCCTCAGATGTGCCATTTTTGTGTAATTCTGTTTACACAACCAAAGAAGGTATTTTCAGTTAATTACTATAGGACTTGCTCTTTCTTCCTTAACAAACTATAAACTGCAAAAACGGGGTCACAAATAACCCATCTGTGCCTTGTAGACAGAAACTGAGGCTGTACCTTTTTAGACGTAGACTGAGGCTATACCTTTTCTCAACTCTGGAAAAAGAAGTCCAAAGGACTAAAAGAGGAGAAGGTGAGATAGGGAATTAATTGCTTCTAAGAACACTGAGTGACTCTCTGTATATGTGCAGCTGGGAAACAGCCCAGTGACATAAGGACAAATAAAGTGATATTGGACAAGTCAGGGTACAAACCAGTTAAGGTTGAGTTGTCAGCATTTCCTGTTCTTAGAGGTGTCTCCAATGCCTCTGTGCTGTGAATGTTCCCAGAGGTGACCCCTGAGCTAACAAGCAGGAGGGTGTGGTGCAAGAGGTCACGTAGGACGCAGGATCAAATCTAGGGGAGGAAGCAAGGGCATTTGTATAAAGAACAATACAGTTTGTGCCATTGTAAAAATAAAAGAGCGATGTTGGCCATGCGCTCATGTTTGAGAGAGGGCTTCCTTAATTTCCTATGGTGCACATCTGAAACTAGCCTGGGTATGTCTAAGAGCAGCAGAGATAAGTACTTTTTTTCTGTTAAGTGATATGTGTCATTAGTGTCCCATCCCTGTATGTAAATGAATCATGAGGATCAGCCTGACTTTAGTGAGCAAAATGCCCCTGCTCTTACCAAGTGCCCTTCGTGGATTCAAAGTAAAAGTGGCCACTCAAGGTAGGTTTCACGGCTGCATAAAAAGTAGCAAACTTAATTGGGATTCAGACTATGACTATCCTCAAAATATACTTTAATTTCTGCTCCATGCCATTCTGTCAACAAGCATATATTGAAGGACAGTTATGTCTAAGCTGTTTGGCGTTTCTGAATACACTAGACGGCAGAAGCCAGGCTTGTTTTACTGTCCGCACACCAGAGCCACATAACAAGTATTTGGAAAATGAATACGTGAATAAATGAATGGTGGGAGGGGAGGGAAAGGGGAGAGTGCATGGACACAGGGAATTCAAAAATAACAAGGACATTTCCTTACCCTCAGAGAGTTTAGTGTCCTAGAGGAGGGATAAGCACGTAAATAGCCAGCATTGAAACAAAATTTAGCAAGTAAAAGAAAAGAAGGAAAAAGTGTTTTGGGGTTTCAGAGAAAGATGGGAGGGAGGAGAATTTGAGAGAGAGAAGTCCTATCTGGCAGAGAGAAATCAAGACAGTTATAAGATGGAGTTGAAAAAAGGGCATTCAGAGCAAGAGAAATAACTTGAGCAAGAATGGAAGATTCCCCAGGATGTCCTGGAAATATTCACGAAATTTGAGAGTTCAGGGTGGCCAGCAAGCAGGGCATGCAAGCTAAGCTAGAACAGATGCGGAGCTCACCTGAGGGCCAACGTGGTCGCCTCGGAGTTAGTGCGTGCAAAGAGGTGGGACTAGGAGTGAAGGTGCATGGAGAGCCAGAAAGTCAACAACGGTCCAAATAAAGTGTTCAGGTGATTGCAATGGAATGGAAAGGAAAATGGATGCGAAAAATATAAAGGAAGCAGAACTGTCGGGACTTGATGAATTGACGTTAAGGCAGAGGAAGGTGTGTAGCCCTGAGGTTTCCAGCCTGGTGACAGACTACAGTGATAGAAATAAGGACCTTAGAGGAGGCGCTGGTTTTCATAGGGTGGGGGGGGAAGGAGTTGAACCCCAGAAATTTTTATCTTGGGGACCTCAATAAACTGAAAACCAGACACCAGGTCTTTACAGGTCCATGTAGACACTCAGAATTTGGGGGTTAGCTCCACAGTCACCTGCTCAACAAACAGTAGGTAAAGCATTACAGTTTGTTTCTTCTTTTATATTGGCTTCCTCCATTTAAAAGCTTTCCCTCTCTTTTCATCTTTACCTGCCATCTCTGCCTCCTGCCTTCTGAAAAAGCAGAGTTTATTTCATAACCTATTGGACCGGAAACACGGCATGCTAATTATAACGCCACATTCTGTGAGGACAGATTTAACTACCCCGAACAACGATCCCAATAGAAAGTGTTCAGAGTAACAAGCCCATCGCCATGCTTATAGAAATAAGGAAGGCATGGAAACAGACTACTAAACATGGAAACAGATCTACTTACGGCAAAGTCTCCCACACGTAATCCTCTAACAAAAAATAAAATAAAGCACTTTCTCTGGTCACTGTGCATATAATGATAGTAAAGGTCACAGAGCCAAGGAAATTGGGAAGAATCTTCAGAGTATGATTAAGAATCCAGTTCAGCTGAGGCCTCGGGCACGTGTGTCTAAGCTAAGGATTTATTCATTTATATCAGTTGTATTGTCCAAGGGAGAGAAGACTGGACCTGACCAATAGCTGAGCTCTTTTACTTCCTATTCTTGACCCCAAATAACAATAGTAATAATTACTTTCTGATTCCCTTTGCCTATCTTTTCATCACATCGTAGACACATAGTCATACTCCTCTACTCAAGAGTCACAAAGCCCTGGCCAGGTTGCTCAGCTGGTTGGAATGTCATCCCAGTATGCCAAGTTTGCAGGTTCAATCCTCAGGGCACATACAAGAATCAACCAGTGAATGCATAAATAAGTGGAACAACAAATCGGTCTCTCTCTCTCTCTCTCCTCCCCTTCTCTGAAATCAATAAATTTTTTTTGAGAGAGTCATGCACTAAATCAAAACAACAAAGGAAATCTTAAGCTTTGGATGAGTAATGAGTTTGGAATAGAGGATCTCTATGTGACACCTTCCCTCTACCTACTGGTGATTGGAAATTATGTGTTGATCAAAAACAAAATCTAATAAAACTGCAAGAAAGTTGAGTGTTCATAATGTGTTCCATGAACAGAAATTAAAGCTGGAAGGAACCTTTAAGGCCTTCTAATCCAAGCCCTTTATTTTACAGATGAGGAAACTGAAGCCCAGAGAGGTGAAGTGAGGTGCCCAAGGCCACACAGCAAGTTAGAGGCACAGCTAGTACCATAGCTCAAGTCTCCTGACTCCCAGTCCAGTGCTCCTCCCATTACTCCACGGGTCCTGTCTCTAAGCTTCCTGACAAATGCTAGAACGGTAAACCTCAACTAGTATTTTTCCAGACCATGTTAAAACTCTTAAGGGGGGAAAAAGGATGCTTTCTTGGATAATGTCAGCCATACGTAGCTCAAGCTGTCTAAAGTTCTGGGACAGGGTCTTTTTATACAGCCAACAGAGTCCAAATGTGGTGCTGTTTGCTTGGCCCATATGCTTTCATGTGTTCCCAGTTAGGCCATTACTGGAGGGAAAGGAAAAAAAAAAACAAGAATCAGCTTGTTTTAAAACAAGGGACATACTGGACTCCCTCCCATCCCCCCTCAGAAAAAAAAAATCAAGTTATCTTTAACAGATTCTAAAAATGCCTTTTCCCAAATATGCAGTCAGTTCCTTCAAAGGGCCCTTTGTTTATTTTCAGGAAGAAACCCAAGACAGCTGAAAACCAGAAGGCATCTGAGGAGAATGAGATTACTCAGCCGGGCGGACCCAGAGCCAAGCCGGGCCTTCCCTGCCTGAACTTCGAAGCTGTTTTGTCTCCAGACCCAGCCCTCATCCACTCAACACATTCACTGACAAACTCTCACGCTCACACCGGGTCATCTGATTGTGAGTACACCAGCGAGGTGACGGTGCCTCCGCGCCGCGTGGAGCAGGCTTCCCCCCGGCTTCGGGCCTGCTGGCCTCCAGAGCGGGCCGTTTCCATTGTCTTCTGAAGTAGCCAAAAGTAACTCACCACCATTTTGATTCAGCCAACATCTCTCTTTTCAAAGCTGGAGTGTTAAAACCAGGTGACCAGGCACGTGGCCTCAAAAGGCTGATTAATCACACAAAAACCACATTCCCATTCGTAACATTAACTCAGAAGAAGAATCTGGGAAGTTGCATTGCTGCTTTCTAACCCTTCTTTTGCCCCCACGATCAGAATAACGGCTCTTCCACCGTGACTTAAGCAGCCAAATATGGACCTCATAAGGCCAGTTAGATGCTAGGAAGCATCCAGTTTTGAAATTACATAACACAGATCAGCTTTGCATTAGTTGTTGGAGTCTCATGTAGCTTGGCTGAATTTCTGTCTTTCCAGTTTTTAATTTATTTTGAAGTGGTTAAAGGATAGCATAAATTTACAGAAGAACAGAGAATGGCTTCCAAGAATTCAGAAGCCACCCAGACTTCACGTAGCCAATAAGAACTCAGGTTAAAAATATTTTTTAATTAAAAAAACTGCCTACGGGCTAAATTTGGAAATGGGCAGCTTAATGAGATCGTCGCTATTGAAATCATTTCATTGCTGTTTATTTTTGCTGTCTTCCCACTAATCTGGGAGTCACTTCTTTAAATTCTATTTTAAGGAAGTTGATAAATCACACTTAGGAGATTCTTTTTCTCTTTCTGAAACGTAACCCAGTACTTCAGAGAGAAAGAAATACATGTGATAACAAAGGAAAAGAATGGGAAAAGTTTGGGGTCCAATCTGAAAGAATATTCCTTTTAGTCTTGAGATACCCAACAACTATTCTGAATTCATCTCCGTAAAGGAAATCTGGTAACAGGTAAAGAGCTGGCATATTCTTCTATAGACTGACCAAGAAAACTTTTATGTAAAAAAAAAAAAAGGACTCCATTTATTCTGTTCACAAAGACAAAAATTATTAATTAGGAAATGAGGTTCTAAATTTCCTAGTGTTGTTATTCTGGCAAAACAAATGTAAAACTCTACAAAGAGGGAAAGAGGTGAATGAGTCTGGGAGATTGCATTCCCTCCTCAATTCATCATAGTAGTCTAGATAGAGGAACAAGACCCAAGGGTTGGGGTTGGGGTGAAGGAAGATTGCTCTGTTCGTGGTTGGGCTGAGACCACATTCCAGCTGACCCTAGAAAATGAAACAAGAATAGGGAGATCCAAATCTCTACCGTTTGTGTAATTTGTACAAAGTTGCTACTTTTCTGGAGAAACCTGGGGTGTCAGAGCAGGGACTGTGTTCTGCGGGCCATTGTCATAGGAACATCCTTGGCCTTTCTTGCCTGGCAGTCTCCAGCTCAAATAGTAATTACAGAAAGAATTGGAAAACAGCGTGGCGTGGTGCCCGTAGACATGTGCACACTGTCCCTTCCTACCAGGAAAGTAGCCTGTTCCTGTGGAGATGGGCCTGGAGCCCCTGCATGCAGACCTTCACCGCCTGGCTTTCTGCCACACCTTATGGGGAAGATTACATAGAATGGCCTTAGCCCAGAAATCCCCTGTTGCAGCAAAGTGTTTTTCTGACTAGAAGAAGCACTGGGCTTCCTTGATTGTACTTTACCATAAGCATCCTCTAACCAGGCCTTGGCGTTAGCATGGAACATGTGCAAGGAACTATATAAGCACGGTGCCGCCGCTCCTCAGGGATGAAGCCAGGCAGCAGGGTGTCCAGATAGAGAGGGGAAACCTAATCTCCAGCTGTTTCAAAAGTCATTTTGATTTTGCCATTAAGAGGTGAAAGTCTTCTCTGCTCCAACCTGTTGTTTAAATTGATTGTACTCTTCTCCAAGTATATTCTGATTGTGGTTTGTCCTGATTTGAGCTTACACTTAAAAGAGAATTGTTTTTAGGAAAGATTCACAGAAATATGGCCATTTGGAGATTGCTTAAGAGAAGATAGGAAAGAGGTTTATTTTAAGCTGTTAAATTTTTTGGATGCTCTTCTTGCATTCAAGAGGATTTTTTTTCTTTTCTTTTTTACTTTCAAATGTCATTCTTACCATAGATTAATTTAAAAGCCTAATTTCTTTAAGGTAACATATTCAGTTCCTATTTAGAACTAACAGATTTGGAGCATTTAAAAACAGTGCCCATGACTTGTTAGTCTCTTTCCCTTCAGAAACCTTCCACCAGGGTGTTGTCTTCAAGGCACTCACAAGTGCCTGAATTTTTACAGCACCTTTTCATTTGTCCTGTGTTTAGCAAAATTATTCTTAACCATGCCTTAATGCCCATTTCCTGTCAGTCAGTATAATTCTTCCCAGTTTACAGATGAGAAAACTGACAAGTAGATGAATGACTTTCTCAGTAGTTAGCGCATTCAGATACTGAGGGACGTCTGTGACCTTGCTCTCGCTGTGGCAGCCCGCATTCTCTGTTCCAAGCCCAGAGATGGCATTCCAGGCTGTAAACGGGCATCTTGAAAATGTGCAACTACTCATTTTGGTGAGTGGGTTATAAAACACGACATATAAATGTCCCGACAGAAGAAAAGTCAGCTCTGAATATGAACTGGTAAGGGTGGGTGAGCCACAGTGTTGTTGCCCCTGAAGGGGACAGGCCAAATCATAGAGCAAAGAGGATAAGTCAGACCCCTTGAGTTCCCAATTGACTATTTAACCTGCGGGTCCACTTCACATTCAGCCACAGATCCCAGCAGTGTTCAAACCAAAAAGGATTATGGTTGAGGAGTGCTTTCCTTTGTGAGATGATGAGGTTGATATCACTACAGAGATGTGTGCTGCTTTGCAGCTCACACACTATCAGTTTCTTTTAGTAATATTCCCCCATGACCTCCTAGCTTGTCACCTCAAACAGACTCAGATGATGCCAGTGGAAGGCATTGGGATGAGTTCTGAAATGGGTACAAAGCCCTGAGGTGTCTGACAGGACAGTTCCCCACTGGACAGGCTGAGGGTGAGCTGAGCCAGGCTGTCCCCTCAGATGCTGAAGCAGGACTAAGCCACTCAGGAGAGCAGATGAGGCTCACCTCGTGCTATTGCCCATCACAGCCACGTACCCGTGACAGAGGCAACCTGACCTTCTACTTGCAGATTTCTCCCATATCAGTTTCCCCAGAATAAGCCTTCCCTTGCGGGGAATGGAGGAGCGCCTCTTCCCCTTGGGCAGTCCTCCCTGCCTTTGGCTGTAGACTTGCCAATCCCGTTGTCTTTCTTTCGTTGGGAGCCGACATCCGTGGTTACTTACCTTCCATGTTTTGCACCAGTCTCATCAGACTGTCTTATTTTTGCGTGTCCTTGCCAAGATGCACTTACGCGTTAACAGTTTTTATTTATTTTTAATTTAACCTTTACACATTACCAAACTGTTGTGTGGGTGGGTTTAACTTTAGCTCTGTAGGTAGCATGACTCTGCTGGGGCTGAGCACTGGCGAGGAGACTGCTGGGCTCATCCCTCTCTCTCTCCTGCCATCCACCTTCGCTGGCCTCCCCCCACCCCAACCCTTTGCTTCAGCCGTCCAAGTCCCCGAGATTAAAATTTTTAGTACACTTGGTTCAGTTTGAACTTCTAAGCAATTTTTTTTTAGAGAACAAAACAAAGAGGATTTTTTATGGCAAACTCCATTAATGCCACATTAAGGCTGACATTTTAATTACCCCAAAGTCAGGAAATGCAAAGTTCAGGTTCCCACAGCAACAGAAACTGTCCCCCTAAGTGCCGGCCTCACAGCAGATTCTTTCATCCCTGATTACACAACACTGGGCACAGGGACATTGTTTTTATCCACATACGTGGAAAGGAGCACAGCTTATATCCTTTGTTTTCTTCCTGTAACTACAGTTGAGGATATGGGTCGTTAGCCGCCCTCCCTGACCATCTATATGCATGATCCTGGAACGGAGGCTATTACAGCCCTGCATGTGCACACGGACAGAATTAAAGTTGCTGTGGGAACATTAACTCTGATTTCCGGACTTCCGTGCCAGTCACATTTAAACCATAATGTTGTAATTTTTGGCATGTAATAAATGTGCATTTCATGTACACAGACAGAAAGAAGCATAAAATGTATTTTAAAGAGCAATTAATTACTAACTTTGTGATTAAAAAACATTTGGTGCATGTTCCTTCCCATTTAGCATCAGCTGCTGGTCTTAGCCAGGCCTAATAGATGACATACTGCGTCTCATCCTGTATCTCAGATGTACTTACTGTATGTTCCTGTTCTTCTGGATAATTAATTCCCTTAGTAAAGCTGTAGGGGGAAAACAAAATGGAAGGGATATGCAAGCATGTAAATAGGGGAAGGGATATTTAGAAGGAAATGATTCATTTCTGCAAATAGACCTCTTAGTCCCTGATAGAGAGCCAGAAATCTGCTAAGTGGGTGTAGACTAAGGTTCCTGGCCACCTGAGAGCATCTGGTCCGGGGCCATAGAACAACTTGAAAGCAGATTTCCCCCTGAATTCCGGGCATGCCCAGTGGGGGAGTGAGTTTACTCTGTAATAACTCCTCAGACTTCAGGCTGAAGAAGTTATTTTACTCTGTAACAACTTCGCAGTTTCTGTTCAAACTGGAAAAGAAAAATTGTAGGGAATCAAGTAAGAAACGGGTTTTGCTGAAAAACCCCCAATTTAGAGAGCAGTGTTTTGTTCTTCCTTTAGATTAGAATCTCCTTGACCTATTTGTGTTGGAGAAGGAAGTGCTTCCAAATCACCGTTTGAGCAAGTTTGAGAGTAAAAGGAATGGGTAGCAGGACTCCAAGGTGCAGTGTTGAAAAATGCAGATGCTCGAGCACTTACTTGAAACTGAGTGAGATAGACTTTTACCAAAAGGATGTGCAGCTTGAACTCAGGTACAACTTTAAGGGGAACGAGCCCACGAAGAGCCTGAGCCTCTGTTCTT